GATGCAAAAGGCAGTACTCTTGGACACAGCACGCATCGTCAGGCGGTTTCTTTCTCCGCGGCCCTAACCACCGGTTGCTTGGGCCTAGCTCCGCTGCTGATGGCCTTGTAGGTTAGGTTTTTTATACTATATTTATTTTTGTATTCTACTATTATATCTATATTATAAAAAACCTAACTGTAAAATATAATAAATAAGAGAATATTAAATATAAATATTTCCAACACTCACACCAATTAGCCTAGCCCCACAGTAAGCACACAACTTGTGTTATGGGATACTAGGGTAATGGGTAGAATACATATACTGCACATATATAAGTATATTTATATAGTAATACATATTAAACATTTGTGACTGGAGTACAAATGCTCGTATTCATCACACAAACATCTGCTCCCACCCAGGACCTCTGAAGTTAGCAACACCATGAAACCTGGTATAGAAACCACTCAGCCACAGAGGTTGTCATAAACTTGTATAATAATGTATCTACTAATATGACCACATAGCTACTAGAAAGCTATGTCGAATAGGGTTTAGCAGATTTTCTATAGCAAGGTAACAAATTGTGAGTATCATATTAAAAATGAATAACACAGAGTGCCCTTGCATACAAATTTAAATTCAAAATATAGAATGGGTAATAAATAGTAATTGTAACCGTTAAATACACAGACAAAAGATGAGACTGCACATTAAAGAGAGAAAAAATAATATACAAAAAAATAAAATGCTTAAATGAACTAAGGCTCTCTTGATCACTTTAGAAGTTAGGTTGACAAGGTCAGAATGACAGTTGCAGCATATATGTCTTATGAAACTATCTTTATTCACATTTACTATAATCATGCGAACTTTTTCTAAATGAGAAAATACAAACAGTTGCCAGAAATATGTTCTGTGTTAGTCTGCTGCTAGTTTCAGTCTGAATCATATGAAGCTATTCTTTCTGGGAGCATGTGCTTGTAGTCATATCACACACCAAACCTCAATGGCCCCGTCTCTGTAGCATGAGCACTACAATTTACTTTATATCACGTTTTTAATCACTCCTAACTGTCAAACTGCATAGTAATTTGACAATTCATTGTGTTAAAACATGTTATTAAACATATGGCAGTGTTCATTCTAGGGGGGCATTAGTAAGTCAGATCGGCAGTGGGAACATCTCTTATCTATTAGACAAGTCCGTCCGTCCGTCGTGCTGTTTCAGCGGCCAAACCGTAAGAGATAGATAAAGAGAATGTATAAGTTATAAGTTAAGAATAGTCTGACAAGACTACAAACCGGATTTGAGCAACGTAGCACTTCCAGTTTTCGAGAAATCACGAATTTCAAACGAAACCACACAAAATCTCCGAAGTTCTCAATTAAATACATTTTTTTTTATATCAGGTTTTGGTGAACATTTGGTTCACTGGTTTGCTAGTAAATATATAATGATAAAAACACTACAATAAATATTGGTCTTTTTAAATGTTATTATAAATGGTCACAATTACAAAAGATTTGTATCTATAGATAGGTCCCACAAATGACTTTACCCCACCTGTTATTTTATGTTACGGTGAAGATAGCTGGTATATCAGTTCTACCTGCCATACCAACCTTGCCGGCCTGCATGTTACTTCTTCATGCCTCTTTTAAAGGATCCCAGGTTGTAAGGGGGGAACACGTGAGCAGGCAGAACATTTTTTGTAATCATAAATTGTAATTTTAAGCTTATCACTATCACTAAATCTATCGCTTATACAATGTAAGTATTATTATAATCGAAGTTAAAAGTTTACTAGCATCTCTGAGTAGAGTCGATCGAACTAAACACTAATACTTTTGAAGCTATTATCGGTCTCACCTTACGGAAGCCATTGGGTAGCATGTGTCTGGTCTTCTTGTTTGAGCCATAACCAATGCTGGGCATCAAATACTGACCCTTGAAACGCCTGCGCACTCTGTTGTCAATACCTGCAAGTTTTGAAAATATACAAGTTTTATTATTTTATTTCTTTGTCATATATGAAACTCTGTTCTAAACAGAAGCAGGTCTGCATTAAACCAACCTACCTTCATAATGTAAAGCTTAATTATTTATTCAAAAAAAGGTGGAGAACATTCACTTTACTTTAGAATTTATAGTTTCTTTGAAGTGTATGAACATGGTATACAAAGATGACTGTGTATCTGCTAATATGACCACATAGTTACGAAAATGCTATGTCGAATAGGGTTTAGCAGATTTACTATAGCAAGGTAACAAATTGTGAGTATCATATCAACAATGAATAACACAGAGTGCCCTTGCATGTACCTTAAATTCAAAATACACCGACATAACCTCATGTGAAATATAAGGTTATAATCATAGTAAATAAACTTTACAATGATTGTACCGACGTATCGTATTCTTAATGGACATCCAGTGAACTCAATTATTTGTTATATTTCTTGAAAACAAACACAGCAAAAGGTTAAATAGCGTAAAATGTTGAGGCCACACAAGTCTTCCAAATATCACGAATCTTACCTCTCGGTTTGCGCCAGTTACGCTTGAGTTTATCATAGCGATCCGACTGATGGCGGATAAATCTTTTCGTCCTCTTTTTGACGATTTTTGGTCTGTAAACTGGTCTGATAGCCATTTTATGTGTTTCTTTGAGAAACGCGGACGTGAACCACGCGGTGACACGGCCGCACGAAAAGGAAAAAGGAATAGACAAACATTGCCATTTGTAGAGAGGAAGTCTGACTTCGTTTTCAATTAGTCTTTAAAAAAAATGTCTATGGTAAATTTTTTATTAGTTTTTTAGGAATACATAAAAGAATACATAAGTATATCATTTCATGAACTATTTTATTATATTTAAGTTAATTTTACTTTATTTGCATCTAGCAAAGTGGCAAATCACATTGAGATAGCCACAACAGTGGCTCTTTGTCTCGTTCACTCTGGTTTTAAAGTGAGTTGAAATACAGACATAGCCAGGCAATTCCGCTCCATCGCTGTACGTATTATTATTTTCTTAATTTACTTAACATAAGCGATCCATTAATCACAGGAGCATGGAACAGCGCATGCGTCACTCATATACATGTATACAGACTGGTCCAACTAGAGACGTCAACAAATTTTTTTTAGATTCCTCGCACCTGGGGGTATCCGAAAATACCCCATGTATGTTCCGCGATTTTTCTTAGTTGTCGAGTTATATTTTTTTTTGTGTATTTTTAATGATTTCTGCCACCGAGGTTTCAAAAATTCTTATCTTTTTTCGTAGTAGGTATTTTGCATTTTTTTTGTGACATAAATATCTTGAATGTTGTTTTAATAAAAAAACAACTCAACTTGGTGCAATTACTTAAAGTTACTCAAAAAATTCTTGATGGTTGGAACTTTAGTTTTTAGTAGGATTTACTCAAACGTTCAACTTCAATACAAAAAGGAGTTTCGATAGCTTCTGCTAAAATTAAACACTCCGCATGCTTCTAAACTACCAGAAATCATAAAAAAGCCTTTTTTCGATAAAAAGTATTTTTAGCTAGTGGTGAAACTCAAAACATAGTTAAAACCTTTAACGTATAAAGGAACTTAGCGTTTAGAGTATAAAGGAACGTAGTTTGCTGCTATTATATTCGAAACAATCGATTCGACTTATCATAAGTTGCCTGCTATGACTTTGTAGACATTTAGTTGTTCAAAATTAGTAAAAAAATGATGTTTATGATGTAGCTTACACCAGAAACCCCCTTTTTATACTTAAAATATTTTTTATTTTTAATTAAATTCAAATGTAAATTAACCCAACTAGCTATCGAATTAAATTAAAAACTGGCACTATACATTATCAATAATCTTTACAATGGTATACATTTTGCTCATGTAAAAATAACTTAGTATCGGTACCAACCCCAAACAAAGCGGTTGTTCTCCAATAAGTTTAGGTTTAGTGAAGCGTACTAGAATCGACACCAGTATATAACTAAAAAGCAAATGGCATAACCATCCATACTTTTCACAGGACAAGTATTTTAGTGACGTTTTAATAAAGTAGTAATGGATCACTAAATAGCTCGATGATTATCACTTCCGTCTATCGAAAACCGTTACCGAATAGGCCTACTGAGCTTTGATGCATCACGAGTCATTTATAATTGTTTTATTTTTTATATAAGTTATTATTTGGTACCTATTTTGCTCGTGGTAACTGTAAAGCTCGTGGTAAACCTGTCAAACAGACAGGTGCATGCAAGAATTGGAAATGAATATTTGGAAATAATTTTGTATTGGAATTGGAAACGGACATTTAAGTAGTTCAGAATGGAGTAGTAAACATATTCCATATAGCCCTATGAGGACTGTTACAAGTGGTATATGCTCTAAGGGGCTAATAGATACCATAAAGATAAGTACTCAAAGTTTAAGCCAAGCCATATTAAATATAAATGGAACAGTCAAATATTGTAACTACTTTAGTGGTGTGATGACATCAAAATTATTAAAGATTTGAGGTTATATTTCTATTTAAAAAAAAAACTTGTAAGGCGGTAGCTGTTTCAAAAAAGTATCGGTTTTAAGTATGGTTATCCTATTAGATAAAGGCAGAGGACCTCCGCACTCTATATTTCACCCATTTCGTTTTGTCTATAGACTAAGGATGTTTTTGCTATTGGTATCGATTCCGGCATCATTCTTTAAACTTAAACTTAAATGTCTCTCATTTTAATTTTATAAAGAGAACGACAAGGATGCACTGTTGTCAAACTTAAGTTTAGGTTTAGAGAATCGTCAGATTCGGCACCATTGTATCGTGCTTCATACTTAGTTTGTTGTTTTTTAAAATAAAAGTTTTGTTAATTATGACTACAAAACTATTTAACGTCAATTGAATGGACCATTTTTTATTATTTGTGTACAAATAAATAATTCGATTTGCAGAGAACGCGAAGTTTTAAGCCCACAGAGTAGGTACTCTATGTTTATCATGACATAATGACAGTTCCGTGTTTATGAGAACAAGCCTATTATTTTCTCTATGCCACAGACGCCAAATGTCGCCATCGATCAATGACATTTTGTGAAGTTGAATTTATTGATATAAAGCGTTAATGTAAATAATAAACAATTTCATCATAAAAGTCGGCTTCCAGTCGATATGTATGCCAAGGGCAAAGGCTCTACGGTGCCTTCGGACGCTCAGGCTCGTGAAAAGTTGGCGCTGTATGTGTACGAGTATCTACTTCATGTCGGCGCTACGAAAGCCGCACAGACTTTCCTCTCAGAGATTCGATGGGAGAAGAATATAACGCTCGGTGAGCCGCCCGGGTTCCTGCACTCCTGGTGGTGCGTTTTCTGGGACCTGTACTGCGCGGCGCCAGAGAGACGGGATACATGTGAACATTCCTCGGAAGCAAAAGCATTTCATGACTATGGTTTCGTTAACTCGGGCTATGGTGTCAACGGTATTGGTCACAATGCAGGCCCCGCGCCTCCAAACGATGGTACGTACACTGGTAACCGCGATTCACAGAGTATATTGGCGGATATTTACAATAAACTCTTTTCTAGGCCATTTGCTACTTAAACTGCAAATTTAAATAGAATTGACTAGTTTACAGTCTGAGATGATTGTTTAGCATTGGATTACCATGAGAAACATGATATGATGCATGTTATATGAACAGTGAGGATTGGATGTTGGTATGTAATTTGCCAAAAAGAGTTTGGTTTCAAAGTGAATGCTTATCTTTGAAACTGTTTGATCCATTGTAAACTAGGTCACTAGCACAGAGCTATAACAATAAATGAACATAAACTGTTTATAACTATCCTAACAGTCCACAGAATTCATGGAATGGTTTAAAAAAAGGTCTTGTGTAGCTGAACATTTGTAGGTACACCCAAACAAGAGAAAGTTTGTTATAATATATTGTTTGGTACATTATTTCGAATGTAATGCGTGGATCACAATATAGAATGTAATCATGCAACAATTGTACAAAACTGACATCTCACATGTAAATCATGGTACATTTTTATGTTCCTGAATATATTTGATGTCTGTACTCTATATGTGATTCCTTTATGCTCCATTTCTTGGCTTCTATACCCAAAGGGTAACAATTGAATATGTTTATATTAACCACTGTCAGTCTGTCACTTTTGAATAGTACTGTAACTTATTCCAGCGATAAATAATAAATTAATAACAGCTCCCTGCCTCAGTGCCTTGTCTTTGCCTCGGCCATTACATGTTCGTCCATCAATGCATCTTTTGCTGGCCTCTGCAGTAATGTACTATATATTTAGCTAATAAAATATAAATTTCATTTATGTAAACAAATGCCTGCATTATGAATGCTAAGTGTTCATCACAAATATTAATCACAGCATCTAGAAATCCGACCAGGGACCTTTTTAGCAGAATCCAGGAGGAAATCTGTTGGAACTATCAAATTGTCATACATGCATATAGTCGTGAAAAGGAATGGGCTTTCCCAGTGGTCGGTCATTGGATGGGTGACTAAAAATTTACTATCTCACACCTCCCTACTTGTTTGTCGCGGTTACATATGCAGTCGTTCGCACCCACCAATCCGCACTATGTTTGGTCAAAGCCTATAATCTACCCATTCCATCATTATTAGATTGATGATGATAATCTTACAAAAATCCTAAAAGTAGTAGCAAAGCATTAGACTATTCAAGAGACATATTATTTAAGTGGAACTTCTTTAATCACCATACATTTCTCATCTTTACCAGATCGCATTACATTTTTATTGTTAGTAAAAAATTCTGACTTTATCCACAAGCATTGGTGGTTAAATGGTAGAAAAGTCGCCTGTTACGCAGGCAGCCCGTATTCGATACCTAACCGACAAGAGTCGTTTTTTATTAATGATTTTTAAGGTTCTGTGAAGTCACTATGAGTTCACAAAACCATACCATCTTGTTCTTCAGTTTATTTCATTGCCTCTTTCTATTATATATATATATATGTATATATATATATGCTTTAGTAGTACGAGCGAAAAGTATACCAGCAAAATCTGTCTATAACCTTCTAAAAGACCTCTGCCTGTCTAGAACTGCAGTAACTTCAATTATGGAACGAGTTACTAAGGCTGCACTAACAGGCTCCTATCAAATTTGGCTAGGAAGGGCGGGCAATTCGAGCAGCAGAAGGTGAGCGTTGATGCGCATCTGAAAGGGGGCCTCCTTAAATCTACAAGCATCAATCCATCATCTCTTTCCCGCATGATAGACCTGGCACCGGCACGGTGAATCCATGGATTGCTAAGAAGTTCGTCCCTCTCTATTCGCATTATCCCCTGTGGCCGAGTGGTTTGTATGCGGGGTTTTACCGAGAGGTCCCGGGTTCGAATCCAGGTGGAGGCAGATATTTGTGTAATGAAAACGAGCATTTGTACTCCAGTAATGGATGTTTAATATGTATTTCTATATCTCAGCGCTGCAGCAGCCCTGGTGTTGCTGTAGTATCAAGCTGCGGCAGGGAGCTAGTTGGCCAAAAATTTTTTTATTATTTTTATATATGCTTAACAATTCTTTATGGTCAATAAAATTTATTTCTTTCTTTTTCTTTCTTTCTACATAAATATACTTATATATGTACAGTATATGTATTCTATCCGATACCCTAGTATCCCATAACACAAGCCTTTTACTGCTTACTTTAGGCTAGGCTAAATGGTGTGTGTTGGAAATATTTATTTATTATATTTTAGATTTGCGGAGCGACATCGACTTTTAAGATCTTCACAAGTGCTTGTAACAGCCTAGTTTGAATAAATGATTTTTGATTTTAATTAATTTCAGGCATGGGTGGCGGCGGTATGCCTCCAGGTTTCTTCCCCAACTCGCCACTACGGCCGTCTCCCCCGGCGCCCCATCCGGGCTCGCAGCCGTCACCGCACGGGCCACAGCCCCAGCTGATGGGAACAGGGCAGCCGTTCATAGGCCCGTGGTACTCCGGAGGCGGCCCCAGAGGTGCAGTTAGGATGGGCATGGGGAACGACTTCAATGGGCCACCAGGTAAAGGAACTTTACTTTAACCCGCTTATTCATAAATAAGGAATAGGCATAGACTAGTTACGCCGTGTTTTGTTCATGTCACTCAAATGCCATTTGTCAATCTATAGACAAAGACAAAAAATGGAGTGATTAATCCAAGCGTATTCCGCGTTTATTGATAAGGGGGTAATTTGTTAAATAAAGTGGTCAAACGTTGTTTGTGGGAAGTTATCTTGATCTACTTTTTCGATATTTAAAAAGTCTGTCACACAAGACTGAAATAAAAATAGTTTGTTAAGACATATAATGATGTCGATTCTGGCATGATTCTCTAAAGCTAAACTTAAATTTGACAATAGTGCATCCTTGTCATTCTCTAAACAGAATGAAAAGGAGAGACTGATGTTAAATTTAGTTTTAAGTTTAGAGAATCATGCCAGAATTGACACCAGTGTAAAATTAAGATGAGAAATGGGCAAAAACATGATTGGAATGGGACTTAATAGATTTAAGAGAGAGAGAATTTTAGAGAAATTTGGAGGTGACACGTAATGAAAATGGTAGGATATAAGATCCAATTACTCTCTGATGAGGAAAACAAAATGTATGATAATTGGGAATTTAATTGGCTTTAAGAAGTCCATACTGATAATCAAAACTGTTATTATAAAGCAAATGTATAAAGAAATCATCAATTAGTTATATTGAATAATAATAATAATGTTTATTTCAGAAGTAGATCCATAGAAATGTTAGTAACAATCAAACCTTAAAAACTATGTTAGTACATTTTGGAACAAAGTTATTTCATATATATACCCTCTGAGGCACCAGTCACACGGACGTTTTTATGTACGCAGTGCCTCAGAATGGCACACTGGTTTTTTCCTGATAACATCTAGAATACTGTTTTCGCTCCCACAAGCCCTGAGCATCAGCGATGCAATTCTCTTGTGCATCACTGATGGGAAGTCCTCTAAGTTGAATTCTTTCAATAGCATTTATGTATGTATTATACTGTGGATTCCATACACTCAACTCAACTCAACTCTCAAATCAAAAGAGGCACATTCAAGGTGTAACTTTATAAGAATACCTAATAAGTTTTTAACATGATAACGTCTTATTAATCGATGAGCACCGGCTGCACGCACGAAAAAATGTCACGTTCCACCTGAGCCTGAGCGCGGAAGCGATAGAGAGGCACAATTGTACACATTTATCTCTCTTCTCGCGTGACGTCAGAGCCAGCAATTATGCAATTTTTTCATCAATGTTACTTTTTTACGTTATCACGTAAAACTATCATCCGTAAACCAACTGGTTGTCTGTAAACCAATTTTTAAAGAAAAGTTTACTAGAAAAAATTTCACGCGGACCAGGTAGCAGACGGGACTCGAATCCGCACCCTTCACCATTATGCTACCGCGGCCCTGACGGCCTTGTCGAATTTTCTTCAGCCTTAGGCTGCAAGGCAGCGCCATCTCTTCGCATTGTAGGTAACCCACAATGTCAAATGAACACCTTTACAGGTATTATACATTTGAAAGAACAAATAGCAATTATAGTTATAGTGCGAGTTCGAGTCCCGTCTTCAGCTTTGTCTGCGTGGATTTTTTTCTAGTAAACTTTTCTTTAGATTTAAACATCTAGCAGTTAAATGCTTAACAAATAAAAACATAACCAAATTTTTTGTTCGCGTCCATAGGGCAAGGCATGATGGGCAACTCGATGGAGCGCGGCGTGGGCGGGGCGGGGTCGGCGGGCGGGCTGCTGGGCGGGCCGCGCATACAGCCGCCCCGGCCCGGCATCGGGCCCATGAGCCCCGGACAGTACGTGCGCGGCCCGCCGCCCCAGGCACCAGGTGAGTGCATGACGGGCGGCTCGATGGAGCGCGGCGTGGGCGGGGCGGGGTCGGCGGGCGGGCTGCTGGGCGGGCCGCGCATACAGCCGCCCCGGCCCGGCATCGGGCCCATGAGCCCCGGACAGTACGTGCGCGGCCCGCCGCCCCAGGCACCAGGTGAGTGCATGACGGGCGGCTCGATGGAGCGCGGCGTGGGCGGGGCGGGGTCGGCGGGCGGGCTGCTGGGCGGGCCGCGCATACAGCCGCCCCGGCCCGGCATCGGGCCCATGAGCCCCGGACAGTACGTGCGCGGCCCGCCGCCCCAGGCACCAGGTGAGTGCATGACGGGCGGCTCGATGGAGCGCGGCGTGGGCGGGGCGGGGTCGGCGGGCGGGCTGCTGGGCGGGCCGCGCATACAGCCGCCCCGGCCCGGCATCGGGCCCATGAGCCCCGGACAGTACGTGCGCGGCCCGCCGCCCCAGGCACCAGGTGAGTGCATGACGGGCGGCTCGATGGAGCGCGGCGTGGGCGGGGCGGGGTCGGCGGGCGGGCTGCTGGGCGGGCCGCGCATACAGCCGCCCCGGCCCGGCATCGGGCCCATGAGCCCCGGACAGTACGTGCGCGGCCCGCCGCCCCAGGCACCAGGTGAGTGCATGACGGGCGGCTCGATGGAGCGCGGCGTGGGCGGGGCGGGGTCGGCGGGCGGGCTGCTGGGCGGGCCGCGCATACAGCCGCCCCGGCCCGGCATCGGGCCCATGAGCCCCGGACAGTACGTGCGCGGCCCGCCGCCCCAGGCACCAGGTGAGTGCATGACGGGCGGCTCGATGGAGCGCGGCGTGGGCGGGGCGGGGTCGGCGGGCGGGCTGCTGGGCGGGCCGCGCATACAGCCGCCCCGGCCCGGCATCGGGCCCATGAGCCCCGGACAGTACGTGCGCGGCCCGCCGCCCCAGGCACCAGGTGAGTGCATGACGGGCGGCTCGATGGAGCGCGGCGTGGGCGGGGCGGGGTCGGCGGGCGGGCTGCTGGGCGGGCCGCGCATACAGCCGCCCCGGCCCGGCATCGGGCCCATGAGCCCCGGACAGTACGTGCGCGGCCCGCCGCCCCAGGCACCAGGTGAGTGCATGACGGGCGGCTCGATGGAGCGCGGCGTGGGCGGGGCGGGGTCGGCGGGCGGGCTGCTGGGCGGGCCGCGCATACAGCCGCCCCGGCCCGGCATCGGGCCCATGAGCCCCGGACAGTACGTGCGCGGCCCGCCGCCCCAGGCACCAGGTGAGTCGATATGAGGAAAACATCCCTGAGGTGTCGTCTACCAGTTTTTCCAATGTTTTCAAAAAGAAAGAGATTAGGCTAATTGGTCTAAAGGATTTGGCTTGTGTAAATAGGGGTGATGACGGGGTACAGTTAACGAAATTCTATTGAGTCCGTCAGTTAGATGATCAAAAAATAATGGACACGTATTTTTTCTTTGGGCAATCAACCAAAAAATGACAAAGTTATAGCGCATCAAAGTGTAGGGGCAAAGGAGTAGGGGCTCGCGACGTCACTTTTGAGTGAATTTTCACTTATAAGTGTACTCAAACGTGACTTCATGCGACTTTTCAAATCAATATATCTCTGCAATGTTTATATTATGTGAAAAAAGAAAAAATACGTGTCCAATACTTTTTATTAATCTACCTGATAAACGAAGAAAAACAAATTAGTCATCATCCCTATTAGCCTAGCCTCAAAGTATGCAATGTAAGGCTTGTGTTATGGGATGCTAGGATAAAGGATAGAATACATATACTGTACATATATAATTATATAGAAATAAATATTTTACATCCATGACTGGAGTACAAATGCTCGTATTCATCACACAAACATTTGCAATGAAACCCGAAAACAACTCGACCACGAAGGTCATCATGGAAGGAAAGAGGTTAGGCTAATTGGTCTAAAGGATTTGGCTTGCATATAATTGCCATTGCCCGGTTTCGGTATGAAGACTACTTTCGCCTCCCTCCATCCCTTGAGGAAAACAATTTCGTGTGTTTCCTGATTATTGTAGCAAAATGAGGTGTCGACAAGCTTAATTCTGAAATTTGCACAAGTTTTTTGGTTGAGTCGTGAAAAAATGGCAATCCTAACTAAAATAAAGAAAAAACATTTGCAATTGCCCTAATTCTGAAAAATTGATTTTGACGTCTGAAAAAACTTAGCAAACCCGATTTTTCGAAGGTATGAAAAACAAAATCTGAAAAAAAAAGAACTCCTTTTGGGGCTTTGGCCAAACTACAAAGACGATCGTAGCATGCTAAGACATTGCATAAAACCGCCCAGACCCGGCATCGGGCCATGAGCCCCGAGCCAACGGGCCGTCGGGCCCATGTGTACGTGCACGACCCGCTGCCCTAGACACCCATTGCGTGATGATAAAAATAAAGGTTTTTTTTGTGACAACCCTGAAAAAATGTTGACAACCCTTATTCTAAAAAATAAGGTTATCTAAAATAACTCCGAAAATAAGAAAACCCTTAAAAATTAAACCTATTATTTCTAAAATATACCATACCCTAGGCGAGTATTGAACTATTGACACTAAAAGATTCTCATTTCAAAAAAAAAATTTACTACCCTACAAAAATTTCGAGCCAAGCTGATCTTTTTTTATATTATAAAAAAATGACTGACAGTTGTTAAAGAAATTGAACTAAATTATTTTAACAATTTTTTATCAACGCTTATCACTAAAAAATTATGAATAAAATTGAGAAGCCTAACTTTTGTCATTAAAAGATATAATTGCAATCATTTAAGAAAATAAAGTAATTAATTCTATTCATTATTATGAAATATTAATCACTAAAGACTTACAATAAACAGGGTAAGTACTTAATATTTAAAGAAAATATAACTAGAAAAAATTCCACGCGGACCAGGCAGCAGACGGGACTCGAATCCGCACCCTTCGCTATCCGGGCGAATGCACTGACCAATTATGCTACCGTGGCCCTGATGACCGCGTCCAAATTCCTCTAGCTATTCTTAAGCTGCAAGGCAGCGCTATCTCTTCACATTGTAGGTAACCCACATCAAGCAGTTACATGCTTAAAAAATAATAATAAAAAAAAAATGTACTTAATATTTGTCGTTGGTTTAAATGATATGGAATCATTCAAAATCAAATTCAAAATCAATCAAATCAAAAAGGCAAATTTTTTGACACAATACACAGAAATAAAATAGATTAATAATTCTGTTTTGAGAAAATATTTGACGTACCTAATGTTCTTGTATTATAAATATATTATCTCTCTCATTCTTTCAAATTTTGCGGTACCAAATATGCTTACACACTTGTTACAGTTAAAAATTAAGGCAAGTTACTTGTAGGCTTTGATATTAATCAAAGCTTGTAGGTACTTATTCTTATTTTAAGCATAGTCGTGTAACTTTTGTAATTATGTTTTTCTTTTCTTTCAATACATACAATTTAATATGTAAGATCAGTGACCTTATAATTTGATCAATGTGCATTCTCCAGGGGAGGGAGAGTCCTGGTGCTCTGAGATAAAGGCGTTCTGCCTAGTTCAGGCACCAGTCTCTCACAATCTATTTACTGTTTTTATATAAGAATTATAGTATAATAAGTTGTCATGGGATTTGTAGATTTTGGAAGAAGAAATAAAGATTATTATTATTATTGTCAAACAATAACAATATATAAAAAATAATCTTAAATTTGACAATTAATAAAAATAACCTTAAAGTTCTAAATTTTTCATTAAGTTCGTACCAAACAATGTAGTAACGGCGTTGAAAGTACAGGTGAGTTATGTGATTTTTTTTTAATTCAAAATGTTGGTGTAAAAATGTATTCTTGTCCTGTTTTTAACGAGTCTTAACAGGTGACTTTCAATAATTAAACCATCAAAAACAGTTTGTGAGTGTGTATGTTTGTTACTTCTTCACGTCTAAACGGCTGAAGCGATTTTAATAAAATTTGGTTAGCGGACACCCTGGTTTACCACATAGGCTACGCTTTACTGCTGGAAAATATCAGTAATGAACCGCGAGTAACATCGCAGAGCACAGCTAGTAAATTGATTTATTAAAGATTGTATTTCATGCATTTCAACTTTTGTATAGTCTAAAAACTTTTGTCTTCCTAAAATTCACGGAGCGTTTGGTCTAAAAAAAATACAATTTTAAATAGTTTATTTATTTATTTGTAAAGACACAAAATAGGTTACAGTCATAAGATTATAAAATTAATTAACCAATCAATTAATTAAAAATAGCCCAGGAACAAACTAAAAACCTAAAAATATGTATCTCTAGCATGATAAGTGTGAGCAACTTATATAATGAGACAAATTACAATAAAGTGCTATAATCTTAGATTAAAACAAAAAGAGTAGATAAGGTACGCTCATACTTGCATCAAACAAAAACTGATTCCACGGCAGCGCGACCGGGAAGGCGAGATCCGCGTCACTGCATTACCGACCCGAACGAAACAGCACGTTAAGTTTCAACGGCAGCGCCAACGAGACGGCCAGATCCGCGTCACTGCATTACCGACCAATCAGGCGACCAGTACTCGACGTCACTACCGAATAAGATTCAAAACAAACAACAATTTTTATGAAAAAAATATATTTTATAGTACTTACGAATGAAAAGTGATGCCGTGGGTTTTATTTTTAGTTTTTGAGCAATTTGAGCACTTTTTAAAAACACACTTAGGGATTGTTTTATCATATAAACACAAAATATTAGTAATATTTCTTTTTGGCGTTCACATGTACGTCGTTTGCATGTCAAGTTGTGACTAAAGCGATTAGGGTCGTAGACCACAATTTGTGCGGATCACTTTTGTGAGGCTAGTGCCGTATCTTTTATCCCCTTTTGTTTTAATCTAAGACTATAATAGGGTATTTGACAAAATTTAGAAATCGATCTCACGTTATTGACTAATGTTTACAGAGTCCGTAAAAAGTGGATTTTCATTATTTTGTTGTGTATTTCAGTAAAAATAACCAAATCAAAAACTCCATTTTCAAGTTGCCGCGAAAACGTTTCTCTGGACAATATGGCGTATTACTAGAGTGTGACGTCACACGACTGTTACTGTTATTAAAACGTCAAACGATACAATGTAATGTCACTTTAACCGGAAGTTTACTTGCGTGTGATGTCATTTTAGACTCCGCCAATCCCAAGCGTTTTGGGTCACGTGACAATAGATAAGAAAACTATTATCTTTTTCGTGGGTTTTTAGTAAAATTATGTTTTTTTTTGTAAAAATAGCAAAAACCCCTGACATTATTCATTCTAAACACAGATGCTAACAATTGACACTTTATTTTTAATATTTTCAAATACCCTATTAACATTGTTGGAATATTGTAATCAATAGTTAACTAAACTAAACTAAAATTGTACGTCAGTAATAAGACAGAATATGGCTGAACTAAATATTATTTGTATGTTTGTACATAGCAATAAACCTTTTTACGGACTCCATAAACATTAGACAATAACGTGAGCTCGTTTTCTAAAACTTGTCAAATACCCTATTAAATACTTACTAGCAAACCAGTGAGCCAAATGTTCACCAAAACCTGATTTCGCGAAAACAGGAAGTGCTACGTTACTCAAATCCGGTTTGTAGTCTTATCAGACTATTCTTAACTTATAACTTAAATATTCTCTGTATCTATCTCTTACGGTTTGGCCGCTGAAACAGCACCACAGACAGACGGACGGACTTGTCTAATAGATAAGAGATTCTAATCTATTATAAATTGAAATTATAATTTAATAAATGTGATATCTTAGTCACATTTTGAAATAATAATATGTCACGCGGGATGTATACAAAAATGTTATTATAATGCCAAATCAGAATATAAGTCAAAATCAAAATGAAGATAATGACAAATTACAAAATTATGTCAAAATTAATTATACGTCAAATTACAAGGTCACTCAAATAAAATAAAAATAACAAAGTAGGAAAACAAATGGACTATAATATTAATTCAAAATTTATCCGTCATATATTTGTATTTGTCAAGTGTATAGAAGCTTTTCACACGGGTACTTTCTCAAATTCTCATTTTAAACGTTTGTATATTGGATATTTCTTTTAAACATTTTGGTAATTTATTATTGACCGCGTAATCCTGTTAGGTATGCCACCGATGGGCATGGGGCCGCGGGGCGCTTGGGCGGGCGGCAGCGGCGGGGGCTCGGCGCCGCTCAACTACAGCGGGGGCTCCCCCGGCGCCTACGGAGCCCCGCCCGGCAGCAACGGGCCCCCGGGACCGCCCACGCCGATCATGCCCAGCCCCCAAGACTCCTCCAATTCGGGTGAGTGACAATCTCATTTTACAGGTGGCGGTGGCGGTTCCAACCTTACCGATACCAATTTTTTTGCTTCGGTATCGATCTTTGGTATCATTGGTATCGATTCAGGCATTCTCTAAACTTGAAACTAAATTTATCGTCGGTCTCTCTTTTTCATTCTCTATACAGAATGAAAAAGATACGCTGTCGTCATATTTACTTTTAAGTTTAGAGAATCATGCGAGAATTAACGCCATTATCGAATTTGGACTGAGTTTTTGATGCTTGGATGATTTATCGACAGCGCAAAAAAAAATCGATAAAAAATGTTTTTGTCATTTTTTATCAGCATTCCATCTTATATCAATAGGAATAAAAAAACAAGTGTAAATAATTTATCTGAGTATACGAAATTCGGCTCATAATGAAATTTTAGATTATGTTTATTATATTAAGTTCGCGCCGCCAAAAAATTGGTATTGGTAAAAAGCTTTTCAAAGTTAACTGTGTGCGTTTTATTAGCGGAAGTTGTTCGAAATGTTTCATTCACCGTGTATCTCTTGTTTGTTAGATAGATGCTCTTAACAATTTCGGATGTCTTTCGCGCAACGCAATTTGATTGACCCTGTTAACATCAACAACACAAATGACTAAACCCCGAGCACACACCCTGACGACGTAATGAGTTTGTTTTTTATAAATTAAGAAGTTACAGGTTCTTGTTATGTTTACAACACTAAAACCAGGTATTTGACTGTGGCACTTCCTTTGGCGTTTTAATTTTTTTTTATATATTTTTTTTATTCCGTGAAGCTAACCTATGTATTTTTAATAAATATTATATTACCAGAACCAGTTTAGAGGGTGCGCATCTATGGAATAATATTATAGTTGTTATTATTTTGTGGATTATAAAATATATACTCATCTCATTATTTTCTTACTTCTTTTCGTTCTGCTTGCTTCATTCTCGTCCTCGCATAACCTTGGTTGACACACGCTTTGGGTTACTTTCTGTATCATGCTTTTCATGTTTCTTTCCGTTGTATTATTATTAGTTATCATCATTACTTTATGTTTGTAATTCTGTGTTAGTGTAAGTTAATGATTTCCAAATATTTTGATTTCAATAACAAACATTACTGTGAATATATATGATTGATAATAATTAGAAAGAAAAGAAAGGTCGTGTGACCCGTGAAGTGTTCAATATATTTGGAAAATTGTAGTTCTCTAACTAGTTTTAAACTCTTAACTTTGCAAAACTGTATTTGATTTTGTATTTTTTAAAAATGCTCAAAATAAATTAAATTTAAAATATGTAATTGATTTAAAATAGATTACTAAAGATATGTAACATTCAAATGTATATTTTACAAATCATCAAACAATATGGTTTCTCGTATTTTTCGAGTGAGACTAGTTAGAAAACTAGAATTAGATATAGATGTTATTTGTTACTGTATATTTTAGTACTTTTGCGAAAACAATAAAAATAAGATATTTTTGTCTTCCTGAATAAATAGAACTTTCTGTATGGAATTTTTGTTTCAATCTCCCGTCTCGTTAAATTGGTTAAGAGGAAAAGTTGCCTTGAATAAAAACTAAAATGATTTGTATATTAAAAAGAAACTAAATTTTGTTTGTAAATAAAAAAAAAACAATCGAGATTTGTATTGAATAATTTGAAACAGTCGAAGTTGCTGCCTTGTTGAAGAGGTAAAAAAATCAAATTAGATTTCGATACTTTAAACAAAAATTGGTATCAACGGTATTGCTACGGCAGGCGGCGACAACATGTACACGCTGATGAAGCCGGTGGGTGCCGGAGCCCTGGGGGCGGAGTTCCCGTTGTCCGGGGAGCACGGGCCGGCGCCGCAGCACCTGCCGCAGCCGCCCGCGGCCGAAGGTGGGGCTCCGCTGGCGTACCGTGCCTAAAAACGTTTATCCAAACGCAGACGTAACGGAAATGCGAATAAGCTGGGCGTTTAGATTTCGTTCCGAAAACAAAAAAGCGACGAAAATAACTTTTATTTTTACTCGGTGTACCCTTTGATGATTACGTAATTAATGACATAATATGACGACGGTTTAGTGGAAAAGTTAAATATTCAAATGCAACAAATAACACAGTGAAAAACCTAGCTTTAACTCGTTTGCGTTGTGTCTTATAATTTAGGGATACCTGACACAGTGGTATCGGTCGCTCCAGTGGACGCGAAAACAAAAAATATAAATACTAAATAATATAAATTAAATATACGAAATATATTTTCAAATAAATTGCGCACACTGCCGGCGATACGTATTGCCTTGTGTCTTAAAGATTCAGTCCATATTTTATGAGTTAACTCCACATAATATAAAAAATAATAATACTTGGATTGTATCCTGCCGTCACAAATTAAATAGGCACAAATAACAGTAATTCCGAAATTAATTCACATATTTAGGAAATCTAATTTACCGAGTAGACACAGCTATTTAGGCTACAGTAATATTTTGAATTATTGACAAACTAAGGAAAAATAAATATAATCGATAAACATTTATAACTAATTGTTGTTCACAAAACAATAATTATCTTTAATTTCACAAAATCTTATATGTGCCTCGTTTAATTATAATGGCAGTATAATTCCACATAAGTAACATATTTGCCTATGGGGTTTCAGAATACCAATATACCATCAAATTAATTTATGATATTATTATTATTGTCAACATCAGTTTTTTTCGCGTACATTTAGTATTTTGTATTACAGTAGTGTTGTTTAGTATTTTATTTATATTTTTTGGTATCATAGTATTTTTTTGGTATCTTCCGCTATTCGTGCTAGTGCCACTGTCATTTATGTAATTAGAAAAGTACAGTATACATAAAAACTAAAACAGCTGATAAATTATATTTTGATTTATCCAGATTAAAATTGGTCATTTAGAGAAATGAAATTTAACTACTTTCCTATAAAACATGTGCAAATAAAAACAAAAAATTTATATACATTTTTTAAATGCCAAAATAGATAATAATATGTTTTTTTATGGCAAGGGTGTTAAATTTCATGACTGGAATCACGCATCAAAGTAACGAGAGTTAAAGATATCTATTTTTATACCAGTATTGAATAATTTAGGTATTTATAAGTGCTAGGCATAGACAAGGCAATTTTTAATACTGTCCATGTAGACTTTTGTTTCAAGTAATATTTTTTAATTATAACATTTGAATTGATCGAAAATACAAAAAAAATGTATGCTAACTCTTTTCTGAACTTTCTTGCTTATAGTAAACATTTTGCAGTGGGTACTATTGTATATTGCAATGCTAATATAACTTTTACGATTAGAACAAATTTAAAAATTACCTTGTCTTTTTGGCATATAATATGTATTTTAATATTTTTTAACACAAAAATAATTTTGACTATTATGAAATCATTGGGATAGTGTCCACAAGTCAAATATTGGTTTTTGAAGTATTTATTTCCATATTTATCATATTACTTTAATAGTAGGATAAATCATCCCATGTGACCTTGACCGGTCTGTAAATAAATTATTTTTAGCCAAACATGTTCATTTAGATATGATGTTGAAATGAAATTACTAGAAATATCTCTTATTTGATTGGTTTTAGATATTTTCAGTATTTAAAAGTATTAGTAATAGGGAATATGCATGTTTTTTTTTTATATTTTTATTTAGTAGTTTACATTTCTTTGTACAGCATAAAAAATATACGTCAAAAAATTGTATAAAGTGCCTAAAAAATAGCCACTTTGCACGGACAGTTTAAACGCGCGCTATTTTCGAACGCTTGCAGTGACGTCACGATACATCTAAACCTACAAACAAGATCAATGACCTTACAAGATACCGTAATTTTTCGTTCCATACCTTCACTACGGATGGAAGCAGGAACCCACGTCAATCAAATAGACATTATGTTACATACATTATTGTTAAAAAATTCAATGTCATTGCGAAAAGTAGCAATCGGTGTCTCGGTGGAGCGCATCTTTGACACGTACGCCTTCGATCAATAATTCTATATATAACAGGTCAGCGCGTAAAATCCGCTTCGGTAAATATAGCCTCACTTGAGGCGTGAGACCTTGTTTTAAATTAGTTCGGTTAATACAAAACGAAGTAACTCGCTGGCCAATGACTGGTAAAAATATTTTATTTCATGGTTCATAAGGTTAATTTCACATTTTTGTTTTTTTCCAAGTATCACATATAATTTATAAAAGGGAAAAGAGTTCGTTTTATAAGATAAAAGGTCGTATGTGTGAAATAACATTTTGTAATTTGTGACTTTATTCCTTTGGGAGATAGTTGTTATTAGGTTCAACTCAAACTGTTTTAAAACATTTATCTTTGTTCATTCGGAATCGAAAGTAGATGTATAAGTTTAAACATACGCAGACAGTTTTTGGCTTTGATTTTGTATGCGACCCGTTATCTATAGAATTATTGATCGAAGATCTAGGCACTTGCACTATAGTCTCGGTGACATTGGCATATTATCCTGTGAACATCACGTTTGTTATATTTTTACGTCACAACCGCTGTTGTCGCGTTTTAAAACATTTGAATTTCCCACAAGTTTTTTGCACTTTTATATCATAAATGTCTTGCTCGAAAAGAAACTTATTGATGGAGGGACAACTCAAAAGTAATAAAGTTTATATAAAAACTAGCTGACCCAGCGAACTACGTACCGCCCTAAAAAAATAGGGGTTGTCCAGCGGACAAAATTGTGAATCTAAACCATTCTCAGATCCCCTTGAACACACACAAAAAAATTCATCAAAATCGGTCCAGCCGTTTAAGACATACACACTCACAGAAGAATTATATATATAAAGATAAAATGAGGCTAACTTGAATTACATGCGTATTCCCTATTGGTGTTTTTTTACATTAAATTGGATTCTGGTTCCTCATAGAGACTTTATACTAATACAGCAATAATAGGATCTGTAATTTATATATTGATTATTATTGAAATAAGATGAAAATACACTAAAATAACACAAACTTAAAACCTATATGACTTAACCTACTTATCTATATAAATAAATAATTTACAAAGGATCTTAGGATCTTATTTATAATTTAGTATACATATTTTAAAAATTAAAATCAAGTTCTATTATTGCTATGTTACAGTAACGATACCCCACTTATTTTCTTAAATTATGTATTTCTTATCTACACTGTATTTTAGTTATCTTAAGAATCATCCCTTTTTTATTAGAGAATGAAGCAAGCGAACTAATTTTACATACACAAGTCAAACACTAGAGCATGTTAATACTAATTTGACATTACTATTTACATTTTATTGGCTTTTTAATTTTTTCAAATCTATAAGTAGCTTGCACGTGGAATGTAATGTGATTGATAATTTTTTTGATGATTATTTCAAAAGCCGTGCCAACGAAATCTCTTAACTATATGTAATTACACAATTTCTGGCTATTGTGTTTGGTTCGATGTTTGATTAGTATAATGCGATTCAACTAAGAATAGGATCGACGGGGCGCCATATTGTGACGTCATAGCTGTCAATTCAAACGAAAAAGTTAGAGTAAGCAAAAAAGATTTTATTTAATAAAAGTTATTTACTAAGTGAGAAAAAACATCCGATTTTTAATAATATTTATTTATTAAGACTGTGTGAAAAAAAAATTAATCAGAATTAAGCTCTTCAATTCCGCTCATCTCTGCATTACCGCCGCAGTAGTTATGAATAATCATGCACTATTACTAGGTCATATACGAACATTCATCCAATATGTAAACCAAAGTTTTAAATCGAGTTTCTGAACGCAACTTAAAGTGACATTTGGTTGACGATTTAGGTTATCAAACATTCATAGCCAAAGCTCAATAAATGAAAATAAAATATCAACCAATATTAATTAACAATATTTGTTATTGTTTGTTTACTAATGTTTGGTTTTTATTCCATAATTAGCTGAGTGCTAAGAAAGGGTTCCAAGTTTTTTTTGCAAGCCGTACTTTTTAAGCGACATTTGACAGATGGAGGTTATCTTGTGGAGGTCCTATTCTTATTTGAATCGCATTATATGTTGTTCTTACTCACATCTGAGTTCCAGCATCAGTAATACCGTTTACCGTTAGGTAGATCCTTACCTTTATGAATATGAAAATTCAACCTAAATTCGCATTATCATTCTAGTTTTCAAAATAATCTCTACGAGTCTTAAAATTTCTAAATATTCCCACATTTTCGGTACCAATACTGCTGCAAAAAGAACATGTTTATCAAAATGGTATCAACCTCGTTCCCTAGTGTCGAACCCCTTTTTACAACGTTGGTGGCCCAGAGATTTAAAAAGAAGAATTAGCAGATACATAAGATGGAAGTTCGCTTGTCGCAGGCTTAGGGGGCGTAGATGGTATGAAATCGTCGCCAGGTGGCGTCGGAGGCGGCGGCCCGGGCACTCCCAGGGAGGATTCAGGGTCGGGCATGGGGGACTACAACAGCTTAAGTGAGTACGCTATGTCTATTTAGCTACTTACTTGAAAAGTTGGACGCCAACGCTCGGTAGGTTGTTTGCTAAATTATTTTCTATCGATTATAAATAATGTATTTGTAATTACTGCTTTCTGACAATTGCGGGAGTCAAACCTGCGACTTTATGCGTCCACGTGTTCGTTCCAAAATTTGTTCAAGCGTATTGTTATAGATATAGTTATACTGTTGAAATGCATGTTATTGAATGCAACAGGGATTAAATTTTTTCAGTTATGTGCGTTGTTAAGTTTTGAACTTTTAAAAGTCTTCAATGAAATTGCTTGATAGTGTTTATTTTGGCAAACAAGCCCTTGTTTAGATTGTAATGTTAGTAAAACTACTTTAAGGCTGAAATTTAGTTAGATTCGAAGCCTGTCGAACATATTCAAAATTTTGTTTAGTACAAACTAAAATTTACGAATGTCAGTTAAAATATAACATAACACGATGTCCGGAAGGTTTCGGCGGCCCAGGCGGAGACCAAAACGACCAGACCGAGTCTGCCGCCATATTGAAAATCAAAGAGAGCATGCAAGAAGAGGCGAAACGGTTCGAGAAAGATCCAGACCACCCGGACTACTTTATGCAGTGAATCGTCCAACCAAATGCCGTCAACTTGCCAAAAGATGTACCGTTTTTTTCGGTATCGAAAACTCGTTTTGGTACCACATATATTGTATTCTGTTTTGGTATCGAAAAAAAAACGGTATCGGTATATACATACCTGTGTATCGATTCCGTTTCAAAATTATTTATCAAGAATAGTATTTTGCTGATCTCATCAAAAGTGGATTTTTGGCTGGTTGGCGACACGCTTCGGTTATTTTCCAACGATCTGAAGAGGATATTTAAACTTTTTTTTTTTAATTAAATGGAGTACATTTCTTTTCTTTTTTCGCACGTTATTTATTGTTTAGAGAGACACTATAGTTTTCGCGTATTCTTCCTCTTTATCGGCGCGTTGAAAACTATTTAGACGGTTATATATTCTAAAAAAAAACACAAATATAGTTTATCACACTAAAGTGTTTAACACTTTGCTTCTCAACGATATTTAAGTTAAGACTACTTAACCAACCTCTTTAAGCAATATATATTTTGTAAATAGCCGTCGTAATAGTCTTTAACATGGCCTCTGCACATAGTAGCGATTTGAAATAGAAAAAAAAACTTAATTAGTGATATTCTATGTATTATCTATGATATTTAGTTATATAGGTTTTTTATATCGAATAAAGATATGTATCTATTGACTTACATAGTTTTGATTAATTTGATGGTGATATTCTTTGACTTTATGACATTGAATGGCTATCATGGCTAGCTTTCTTTATTTGAGCTATAGCATAGTGTTTTAGCTTAGAAGTAACTTATAAATAAACTTATATACAAGTACAAAGATAAGTCAGTTAGGGTTTTTCTACCTGCTAACTTAATTTTATATTATAACTGAATTGATTGTTAACGTACATATTTATTTAAATTTAATAAAATTGAATCAAATGGGACACTGATATTAAAAACTTAACATAAGTGAACTGATCAGAAGTTTCTGAAGACGCAAAACACTTGACAACAATTTAATTTAACAATTTATTTATTTCATAAAACGTACATTGAATAAATTGCATATCAATGGAGTCGTTGTTGATTTTGACTAATTACTAAAATTGTAACGGATCGCAAAAAGCGCAGGTTTGCATTTTCTTATATTTGCATAAATTTATATTTGTATAATTTATTTTATTGTATTTGTTTGTTTATATTTATATATAGATAACAAAGGATGATTGCATCCAATGAAAGCGCAATTGCTATAGTTCAAATACTATATTATAATTTTTTTTATAAGAATACGCACCGAGTTTTGGCGTCTTATGTGCGTTGAATAGGTTTAATTTATCAACAAATAAATGATAAATGATATCTTCCGTATATTTTTTTCGTTAAATAAATTATTTAGCGTAACGTTTTGTTTTAAGCTCTTAATGTTCCTAGATTATATGTATTTTTTTAATTATATAATTTCTTAAGCGATTAACATGAATTCGGTGCGTTTGCTGCGATCTAGTTAGACAAATGGTTGGAAAAACAATGCAAAATGTATTGAATATGAACATTTTAAAGATTTTTGATGCAGTTTTCTCTAAAGGTTTATATTTTCAGGCGTCACCTGATTAAAAAGGATTTCAATTATATAACACATTCTACGCAAGAGTAGGTCAATACTACTAGATATTTACGCTTTGGTCTATTGGATTACACTTTCTCTCATGAAGATGCTTTGTGAGGAGGCATAACACATACTTAGTTTTTGGTGGTGGCGGTGCATCATATAACTTGTAAGAACAGTCGCATTTCGTTACAGCTTTATATTTCATTATTTCTTATAACCAAACATCTCAACCACAATCTTTTTTATATCTAAAGAGGAGAAGATTTTCTCAAGTTATTGGATATACAATTTTCTTATAATATCTAATAATAATCGATTTTGAATATCCATATTAACATTTGAGATTTTCTGCGAATAGGTTGACCGTGCGTTTAATTCTTGTTCTTAGTGAAAATTATACATGTGCAATATAACTATTCTAGGTGTAATGTAGTGTATTTCAGTCAACTTGTTACATAAATACAAACTATTTGACGTGAATAAAGCTTCAATTTGTGCCCTTTTTAATGGAACTGAATGACATACACGAATTTGTTTGCCTGAAAAATAGACTTGTGCGGTAATTAGTTTAATTAATAATTATCCATTGTACACGTAATGATTTATCACATGTTTATCACACAGATGTACAGATATTATATTCCTTCATAACTGTCATATTTAAATATTTTTACTGCGGTGCATCGAAAAATTCTATTGTGTTTCTCAAATTAAAAGGCGCAAACAGGGAATCGTACACCGCACTGTTTCGATAGTTTCGCAAAATGAAATCTTTACTTTAAGCGTTGCTAAGGAATGTATCATTAAATGCTATTGAGTACATTTAGTACTTCAAGAACTTAAAAGAATATTTTCTTAACAAAATATTCATGGTTACGAAACCAACGAAACGTGATGGAGAATAAACATACTTATCAAATAGTTTTTATTCCATATTAAGTTGTTTGTATTGCAAAGTACATTATGTCTAGAGTATGAGTCGATAGAGAGACGATAAGGAGGATATTGTTATAACATTATGTATAACAATTTATATAACCAGTGTAAAATCAACTATTCATCTGACTAAGATCGCAGTTTCGTTTAAACAAAAATAACACAACACGTTACCGAATTTAAAGAAAAAAAAAATTAACAGATGCAATTGTAAGTATTTCTCGTCGTGTCGGCGCACGCATTTATACATGTTTTATAAATTAAAGGATTTCAACTGTATTTTTCACGTGAGATGATAACAATTAATTGTTTTTTGATGTAAAACGAAGCTCGCAACTCAAAAATGCATTCTCAATATAAACATAACCACATGAACTATACCCATAAATTATTGTTTTTATTTGTTCCATGATGAAATTTTGAATACGTATTTGAGTTGACGAGCTTCGGCGTAAGCTAAAATTTATGGAAATTTTATACCATGGAATAGTGATATGTTGTAGTTTTCTTTTAATTTCTGATAACTTCATTGATGTAGCATAGGATTATATTTTTCTTGGGGTGTATGGAAATCTGTATAAATTAGAATATTTCATAGAGAGATTTTTGGAGAGGTAGCTTCTAAGTTTCGGAGAGTTCGCTCTGTCCATAGTTCTGCGCAAATTTGGGTTCTTTTAGTGATACCACAAAATGATACCTCAAAAAAAAAACGGTACCTATACCGATACCGATTTTGAATCTCGACTGAAAACGTTATTCGTTTCATACAAAATTAAAAATGAAATAAAGAACCACAACTTGTAAATAGCATCAATTTTGGTGTAACTTTGGTGTGATTAGTTTTTTTGATAAAAGTTTTTGTGTCAAAATTTATTGGAATAATAATTAAAAGAAAAAAAAAATGATATAAGTATAATGTATCAATTTTTAGCAAAAATTTACACTAAACGGACCCAAACATTGTAAATTAAAAAATACAGCGTTGAATAAAATATTAGTTTTTAAGTGAATTTAGTGTAAAACTGGATATAAAAAGATGAAAAATAGAAATTTGACAAAACGAGTTGGTAACCTGCAACTTTTTTTTATATGTATAAATTAATGAAATATTTAATAAAATAATTTGATTGGTCTTTTAAAATATTTATATATTTTAATTTCAACATTATTAAAAATATACGTGTAGCGTGAGGTTGTATGTTGTTTTTAAGGTATATTATTATTATTAATTATTATTTTTCCTTCATTTTGTGAATTAGGTAAATCAATTATTTTTTTTCTTGTCGATGTAATGTTTATATAATTACATAAATAGTTATTATATATTAAAAATTGGTCGTTTCATTTTTAGCCTTTTAATATTTTAATCACGTGAAAGTATTTTTTTAAGCATTTAACTGCTAGATGTTTAAATCTAAAAGATTGGGCGGGTTCGAGTCTCTTCTGCTGCCTAGTCCGCGTGGAATTTTTCTAGTATAATTTTCTTTAGATTTAAACATCTGACGACCTCAGTGGCCGAGTGGTTTTTACGCCGGGTTTCATGGTGTCGCCGACTCGAGAGGTCCCGGGTTGGAATCCCGGTGGGGTTAGATGTTTGTGTGATGAATACGAGCATTTGTACTTCAGTCATGGATGTTTAATATGTATTTCTACTATGCTTACTCTGGGGCTAGGCTAATTGGTGCGAGTGTTGAAAATATTTATTTATTTATCTAGTAGTTAGATGATTAAAAAATATAACTATAATTGCTATTTCTTCTTACAAATGTTTGATACTTGTAAAGGTATTCATTTGAAATTGAGGGTTACCTACAATGCGAGGTGTTGGCCTTGCAACTTTGCTTTGCTGTCTTGTTAGAGAAAATTCGACACGGCCACCAGGGCCGCGGTAGCATAATGGTCAGTGCATTCGCCCGTTAAATGGTTTTACAAATTGTCAATCAGAAATCAATATATCTTTATTCAAATTGGATGTACAGTACAACTCTTTTGAATCGTCCAAAATTTTATTTCCCTACCACTCGTTATGGACATATTTTTTAGCTGCGGAGAAAAACGAGAGAAAAAAACTCCACAACATTAAAAGTCTAATGTAACAACATTTACAAATCATTATGTTGTTACAACGTCAATACAGTTATGATTTATTTAATATAGAAAACCTGTTGAAATGATTGGAACAGTTCAAACCCAAGCATTTTTGTCTGTAATATAATGAGACACTTTGTAATAAGTTTTTTTTTTATTATATCTTTAAATTTATTTATGGTTAACTCTTGGATATGAATATAAACATTATATGCATAAATTAATCATGATTCCATTATAATAATTACTACAAAAGGTAGTGTGGTTATTTCACCGTGGTCCGCTCTAAGGTGGAGTTCACTACCCCAGGTGGGCGCTCCAGTAGCGAAAAATCCGGCACCTCTAAAATCTGTGTTTTAGGGACTACCCTGTTTTAGGGGTTACCCTAAATGTAGGCTGTTTATGGTGCGCGAGTGTGGTCACCGTATCATTGCATGTCTGCGACTTATGTTAGTTCCCACATACATTTGTGAAGCAAGCGTGGTCGCTTACATAAACGGGCGTGCTTAAATATTCAGTAACCATATTTGGTACAGTTGTGTCCGAAAGAATTGATAGTCGATAATTTACAAATAAAACAATTATTGTGCAATATTTTTTGTTGAAACTTGAAATCGATAATTTTTTATATACCTTTACTTCAAATTGAGATGAAACTCGCGCGGGAAGTGGCGATTCACTCGCGCCGAGTGTGCCAGCTATAAGTCGCGGCACGAAACTAGCGCTGTCCGTTATTTTTGTATAGATAGGTCCGACAAATGACTCCACCCCACCTGATGTTAAGTGAAGGTGAAGTCCAGACGCGAAGATAGCTAATACAGCAGTTCTACCTGCCACACCAGCCATCCTCACCCTGCTGGACTGCATGTTGCTTCTTCACACATCTTTTAAAGGATCGCAGGTTGTAAGGGAACACGTGATCGGGCAGAACATTTACGGACAGTGCGACAAAGAAATGAGTCACCAAATTTCTTTATACGCGTTCGAATTGTGGCCACAGTTAGACGGTGACAACGTAGTCCAGCGCGCGTGGTCCTCTGAAGGAAAGGGGAAGGTGGATTAAGAGAGAATAACTCCTCAGAACACTCGCCATGGTACAGACGATAGAACGCGCTTAGTGACGCCACCTCATCGCCTATGATGCGGATCTCGCGCCGCTGTAACCTATCCAAAGCATCGAGCAAGTACTTGGCGGAGCCATCCCAGAGGTGCGAGCAATATTCAACGCAGGACCACACTTGCGTTTTGTACAACAAGCACAGTTGATCAGGCATGAAAAAACGCCGCACCTTGTTCAGGACTCCGAGTTAGCATGAAGCTGTTTTGAACACGGTTTCGATGTTGTCCTTTGGATTCAGATCTGAGCGAACTTCCATACCGAGCATGGTAATGTTGCTCTGTAGCGCCAGTGTTGTGCCCTGAAGAGAGGGCAGGGGAAGGAATGGCGATGTTTTTGCCGTGAAAGCGCAAGCCTGTGTTTTCTTGGCATTGAAGTCAACCGAGTTCCTGGTACCCCATTCGGAAATGTGGTCCAAAGCCTAATTGAGTTCAATGACAAGATTCTGCCTTTTCTCCTTGGTTACCGCCTGCCCAGCCGCTGCTTGCCCGAGATACTCCGCATGCACTGTACTATTGTCAAGAGGAATTAAGTCATTGATATGCAACAGAAAGAGAGTGGGGGATAGGACGGAGCCCTGGGGAACGTCGGCATTTACTGACATGAACCGCGAACTGCTACCTTCCGTAAGGAGACGAATTCTACGCTCATGCAGGAAGTCAACTACCCAAGAACGGGACTGGGCCGGCAGCCCGTATGCCGGAAGCTTGGAGAGAAGGCTTTTGTGCCAAACCCTATCGAACGCCTTGGCAATGTCAAGGCTGATTGCCAACGACTCGCCTTGTCGATAGCCTCACCCCAGATATGAGACAAGTACGCTAGAAGATCACCCGTCGATTGTTTCGGTCTAAAACCATATTGACAATAATTAGTCAGGGAGTGATCTTCTAGGTAGCGGGTCAGATGGTTGTTAAGGACCTTTTCTAGAACTTTACATAATACTAAGGTGACTGCTATTGGCCGGTAGTTTTCCGGGTCTTAGCGATCCCCTTGTTTGGGCACCGGTTGCACGTTAGCATCTCTCCAAGTCTCCGGTACACGCCCCAAAGAATATGAGCATTGGTACAAGCGCGTGAGCACGGGAGACAACTCCGCCGCACATTTTTTCAGTACTACTGCCGGGATGCCATCAGGTCCACTAGCTTTCCGGATGTCGAGTGATTGCAATTCGGCACAAACCTCGCGCTGCCTGATTTTAATATCAGGCATCGTTGTGCCACAATGAGGTAATGATGGTGGCAGTGCATTGCAATCATCGATTCGGGAGTTAGCCGCAAAGAGTTTTGCCAGTAAAGCGGCTTTCTCCTGCGGCTTATGAGCTAGTGTTCCGTCTGGGCATCTCAGAGGTGGCAGCGAGGGCTGGCAGAAGTTCTTTTGCACGGCCTTGGCCAAACGCCAATAGCTACGGGATCCCGTAGGATGCGTTATGAGTTCGTGACCAACACGTGCAACGCGCTGGGCATCCGCTCTGATGTAAGCCTTTTTTCAGGCCTTGGAAGCAATATTGTAGGCTTCTTTCAGTGAATCGACCCGGGATCCTTAAGAGCGCGGTCTGATCCAAGCACGATATGCCGCTTGCTTACGCGAAACAGCTTCAGCACAGTCTTGATTAAACCAGAGGTTACGTGTGCCCTTACTGATGAGATTGGAATGAGGAATAGTAGTAATAGTACTCCAAACCCATTACAATCTCCTCAGTAATAGCAACGGCGCTGGCTGATAGGTCCTTGTCACTGAAGCAGCGCTGCTTCCAAGGGACGGACGCGAAGTAATCACGCATACCGACCCATAGTGACAGATCCGGCGTTTTACCACTGTTGGGCGCGGAGGCTTGGCCTGTGCCGCTTTGGCAGATATCAGGCAGTGATCCGAAGAGCCCGGGGGGCTCCTACCACAACCTGATAGCCCTGTGGATGGGTCGTGAGCAGAAGGTCCAGTAATGAAGGCGCTTGATTTGAAATATCTGGAATCCTGGTGGGCTGATCGACCAGTTGCTTCAAGTCATGCGTGAGAGCGAATGTGTAAAATGTAAGGTGTCTTGGCGGGAAACGAGGTGCGCGGGCGGGCGTGCGTTGCTCTGATTGACTCTTCAGTCGTACCCATGCGCAGTACAGCAATCCCTCCGCGTTTTGCAGCAACCTCCGCGTTTTGTTCAGCGCTAGAGTTCTAATGCGATTCCTAAACAATGTTCACGTCTTCCTCGTCACTGCAATTTTTTTCAAATATGATTTTTTGTTAAAATACTTTGTTTACTGAACATTGCTAAAGTCGCAGCCGAAATTTTAGGTGGCAAAGCTACTTATTAAGTTATATCAAATAAGTCAAATAATCTTTATTAAGTTCTCATTAATTTAAAACAAAATATAATCTTCTTTAAAAATCAACAACGAGACGCCCCTCGCGATGCGAGCGTCTGCTACCACGCATCGCATTTTCAAGCCCCTATTGGTAACCTTTGGATAAGACTAAAACGCAGAAGTTTTCGTCATCCAGTAAGCTATAATAACATACTTAAAATCCAAAATTTCAAGTCTGTAGGTCATTAAGTTCCGAAGTTAAGCGAAAGCAAAGTTTCGCATTTATGACACTCAGTCACTCATGATCATCAGAATAGAATTAGTACTTCCCATAAACTCAGAGAGCTGAAATTTTGTACAGAGTTAGGGCTTAATGGCCACATAAAGGATAATAAAACTAGGATAATCGAAGATCTGGAGTACCTGGTGACCCTGATTAGAAAACACAAGAGCCCAACCAAACTACTAGAAGAGATCGACATACCGCCTTTACAAAAAATATTCAACTTGGTGGGCCACTTCATTTTATGTCAAAAATCGAAGGTCTGAAGTATCTGATGAAGAACCCTCAGCTGGTCCCAGCTGTATTAGAGATATGGTCAGGCCCCCTTCTACTATTGGTACTCAAAAAAAATCGACTGTCATTGCAAAAATCCTGCGTAATGGGATGATCTTTTAATTTAATCTAGCCTATAGCGTCCCACTGCTGGTCGAATGCCTCCCCTTCTACTTTTAATACGCTTATAAATAAAATTTAAGGAAAACTCTGGATAACACTAGACTGGCTTTTATACTTATACTTACGAGTTTGCAAGAAAAAATAGTCGAACG